TCGAGTGTATATCAGTGTGTATCATAGTAAACCAAAGAGGTGTATTTCAGTGTGTATCATAGTATATCGAGTGTATATCAGTGTGTATCATAGTAAACCAAAGAGGTGTATATCAGTGTGTATCATAGTATATATCAGAAGAGTGTATATCAGTGTGTATCATAGTGTATATCAGAAGAGTGTATATCAGTGTGTATCATAGTATATATCAGAAGAGTGTATATCAGTGTGTATCATAGTATATATCAGAAGAGTGTATATTGAATTCATAATTCACACAAAGCTATACAGATTGTACTTACTGTGCAGGTTTTTAAGGTCATATTCTTTGCCAAGTAGAAATACAATAGTGTTGTGTCTGTATCTTCCTGAAGGATGGACCTACAAGATGATCAGTAAAATAGTAATAAATATTAATACTTTTGTTAAACTACAAAATTGATGTCCATTATTTTATTTTACATGTAAATTGACTTTTCACTCACAATTCATAATGCACACTATCCCAAAGAGGTCAAGCGAAAACGATACATATAGCAACCAGGTCCCTACAACCAGTCAGGTTTTGTTACAAAACCAGCCCCCCTCCCTCCCTCCCCCCACAAACTTACTGGTATGGAGGCTGGTTTGTTGATAACTGCTATATCGTCATTACACACAATAACATCGATAGGCTGCCCAGTAACAGGTGGTTCATGTCGATGAACTCTACTTTCTAAGAAGTCATTGTTTTTCATTACATAATCCAGACTAGCTTTGCTACCATTGATTGTGATCATTCCTGAATTAATTGCAGCAGCCTGAAAAAAAAAACACAGATATCAAATATTATTTTCTTTTCGTCAACTATCACATGACCATGGCTTGACGCAGAAATTCTGTGCAAGAACAGGTCAATAGACAATGTCTCTTGTGAACTCAATTATCCAATCAGACACTTGGAACACTTGATCATTGCCACTGAGTTGTCGGTTTCATCATAATCCGCTGATTTCCATTCTTTCAGATTGTTTCATGACTATTGTTTTTCAGTATAATAGTTTATTTAAAAATATTATTTTTAGTTTATTATAGTTTATTTAAAAATATTATTTTATTCACAGATGTTTATCACTAACTGAAAGAGTGCAATGCACTCTGAAATGACTTTACTTACCTTGGTCACACATTGACTATGAATTTAAATTACAACATAGACTGCCAGAGACAATTCTTCTGCATGAGAGCTGATATCCTGTTTTAGCCAGATTCAACAAATGAAATTATAGTATGAAATCACAGCCCCTCTATCAAAGAGAAACTGTTTGAAATGTATTTTATTCAATAACATTTTGTTTAATTTTTTCCCCTGTCATTTGGTGAAAGTATCGTAAATTGAACTTGAATACAACACTTAGTCTACTTTAATAATACATTCAACTATTTGGTTATCCAAGGGACTGTAGCACTGGTGCTATGTTTGTTACAAATCATATTAACTTTTTTTTCACATATTTATTGTAATCACATTTTAAAATTTTATGAACGTGGGCAGATGTTATCAAATCGTCTGCTTTGGAGCCTGTGTAATTCTGATGTGTGATTCAAGTCATCACTTACTCATTAAAGTTAATTGCCCTATGTTTAGAATAACTCTGCTTTTCAAACAAGCAGATGTCGGCTGAGATAGCTCCGCTGTTAGCAAGGCACATTTCAATTAAAGAACTTAAGATGTCATTAGAAAATGAACAATATGTATAGTATCAAAGCAATCGGACTTGCTGTTTTCAACAAGAATTCGAAAATATCACTTTTCACCAAAAATGACAAAAATATTTATCAAAATTA